AGAAACAATTGAGACCCTTTTACTGTATCTCTTACCACACACTTTCCTCCTGTCATGTTGTGAATATTAATGTAATGTTCATTTGAAAAAGACTATACTGTACAGTACTGTACCTCATTTCTGTTTTCTATCATTGTGGATTTTATTTTTTATTTTTACAGATTTTTTTTTTTTATAATTCATTGTATTGGATGTCCAAATTAATTCATTGTATTGGATTTCCAAATATTAATTTACAGTATTTATAATGAATTATTTAGACATTGTCTTAATATGACTTCTGACTACTAGTGTACAGTAGTGTAGTGAGAGAGAGTGCACAGGATGCTGTTGGGGCATCCCCCAGCCAGCTGCTTATCTAGTCTTTATCACCATTGCATCCTTTGTGAAGAGAGTTACCATTTCTCAGTATGTTCAACGAATCTCTCATAAAGACTTAAAATATACTAAAACTGTATAACCAGAAAATTTCATAGATATATGTAGTCTAATTTATTATCAATTATTTACTGGTAAGAAAAGGTTAGATACGACATGCAAGGGAGAAATAGTTAAGTTTGTCAGTGGCACTTCTTTCAGTATCCTCTGTTTGCTACTCATAAGTCGTACGAGTTAGCCACGGTGGAGAGAGAAACACAGACATTTGAAAAATGACATTTTTAATTAAGAATGGCTAATAGACAAAAGAAAGCCATCTTGATTCTATCTGTGATTGTGCCATTGGCAATTGCATTTTGTATTTTGATTATCATATTAATGGTGTTTCCAAACATAGACATGAGAAGAGTTGGGCAAGTTGGTGTTAACCCAGGGACAGCAACCCAGATGATGATTGATAAGAAAAAAGAAGACCGGGAGCAGGTGGTCCCCAGTTCAGTGAAAACAAGTAACAGTGTACTGTTGATCTTAGGGCTCATCATAGCTTGTGGAATCTTTGTGTTTTTAATTGTGATCGTTGTTGTGGTATGCATATGGGCCAGACAAACTCAAGGGTACATTATTGGAGGTAAGCCACTCTGTACAAGCTCTTCAATAATTGCCAGAAATGAGGCATGCCAGTTAACACACCACAGTCAGCACCAAAGCAAATTTCCTGAAGAGAGGCATAGGAAAGATGAGATCAAAGGTTTACCCAAGAAAGACGACGAAAAACTTACGACTTTGGTAAATTTACCTTCTCCACAAGTGAAGACTATAGCCATATCTTCTCAGGTCAGTTGCCCAGACTTAAGTGAAGGAACCATAAATCCCAATCCATATCATGTTATTGGTGAATTAAAGGAGCTGGAGAGGAGTCAAACAGCACAGTCTCAAAATTATGGTACCCTTAGCCGCTCACACCTCTTAAGTTCTGTGGATGAAGACGGTTATCACATTGACAACCTTGGTTTTGACTTTAATGAAGATACGGTTCAGGAAGAATTTTATCCATCTTTTAATGAGTCTGAATATCAAGATATAGATCCTCTAGATTCCAACACTCAAGGTGCCTTGTACAAGAATGAAGCATCTGCCAGTTATCAGCCAGGTCCATTGTCATCATCTGACATAGAAAAAGAATCTTCAAATCAGGAAAGTCCCCTAAAGAGGCAATTATCTAAGCAAGATTCATTTCAAGGTCTTCCTCCATTTCAGTCATTTGATAAATATCTGACATTAGTGAGAATAGACTCCACTACTAGTATTGAATCTTGTACTCTAGAAGAAACAAAAAAGGAGTGGGAGAGTATTGAAGAAGAAGATGAGGAAAACCTAAATGTAGTAGAAGAAAAAGATTAGCAATAATATTAATTTTTTCTTCAAAAAGCATCCAAAGCATCACTTAAAAATTACATTGATATCATAAGCCATCCATCTGGTCTTTAGGACTGTTTCAGAAAAACTTTTTTGTTTTGGTGTGGTTGAATTATTAATTACATCTCAGATGCCTTCAGAGAACTCCAAGAGAACTTCAGTGGAGAGTCTTAGAAGGCCCTCTATTGAAAGTCTGAAAAGTGCTTCCCTAGAGAGTGGAAGAAGATCCAGCATTGAGAAACAAGACAGTGCATCAGGACAAACTGATAAGTCAGAGAAGGGAGAACTTCCAGATTCGTACATCCAGAGCAAATTCAGTAGAAAAGGTTCTCGTCAGTATCGTAATGCTGGGTGGAAGTCACCACAAAACATTCTTTCAAGGAATAATTCAAGTTCATCCGTCAAAAGCAATATCTCAGACAAAGTTCAGGTTGAAAACTCAAAACAAGAACCCCAGGAAGTGGTAGCCCAGATGTCACCATCAGAACGACAGGCTTATGTTCAACAGAAATTTGTGGACATTACCAACATTCTTCAAGCTGCTGGCATTGCTGAAGATATTCTTCAAGAGATTAAAAATCAGTATTAGACATTTATATTTTCTCTCATTATTAGTTTTGCTTTCACTAAGCATATAAAATAAGTTTTTTTTTATCTGACACTATCAGAATTCTTTGTAATGTGTTGCATCATGTTAATGATTATTCAATTGCTCTGTAAATTTTAGGAAAATTATTAGATCGTATTAACATTTTTCTATCCATAGGTAAAATAATGATACTGTACAACATTACTGATTTTGTAACTAAAGTTAGATTGTTAATCCACTAGATTACTGTAAGTGATTTTATGTTAGAACAATATGTCAACACAAACTTTATCACAGTAACATCCTGTGCCAGCTTATTAATCCAGCACTCTCTTACATCTGGACAGGATGTAACGCCAGTGACCGTTGATATTCACTCCTAGAAGGTTGTGCTACTACATAGTTCAACACCTCTTTGTCATTTTTCAGATTCAAAGATCACTGAGTAGGCTATTAGTGATTACATATTAAGGAACTTGCAGTATATCACTTCATTATCAAAGTGGTAATGTATAGTGAAGAAATATAATTCTCCAAGTGCAGTATTTAAATTTGATCCATTTACCATGGCACAGCAAGTGAAAGTCAATCAGTTGCAGGCTAGAGATAACTTTCGTCTTTTTGTAATATTACTTCTTACTGCAGTTTACCCATTATTTGTAACATCATTCTATGCCCTGTACATCTTCATCTTGCTGCCAGTTCTGGTACATGGGAAGTATTCTTTACAAGATGCACACAAAGATGGATGGTATCATTACTACTGGCTGTTTGTTGCATTCCTTTGGATTTTGCTGTGTGCGCTGATATTACCATGCTTCAGGGACAAGACGGTGAAAACTTTACAAACTATTGGTATGGATATTCGTGAAAGTCCTCCATACCCCACAAAACCAAATGCTGTTCAACCTTATGTACAAATTGAAGAAGTTAATGAAAAGCAGCGTTGCAGTATTCTAACAGATAAATCGCAGAATTCTAGTGATAGTATTGCAAAGTTGTCATGTAATGATAAAGCAGAGAAAGAGAGCCTTGAGAAATTCAGGGAAAGCCTTCAAGGATCATGCACATCACTCAATGAGAGAAAGAAAATAACTCAGTCTGGGGAATTTTTGAATGACTTTATTGGTTCAGTAGGATCAGATGAGTTAAAGGAAAAAGAAATAGAATGTGAAGTTCATGCTGAAGAAAATAAAGATTCCCACAAACAGAACAATGAAGACGTTGATCATCAAGGTATAATGGACAAAGATAATGAAGATAAAAGTGATGTTAGTGAAGACAGCAACACTGAGGATGAAGATAATATTCCCAGTGACAAGGAAGAAAAAGAAAATATGCCTCAAGATAAAAACAAACAAATTCAAGAAACCATGGACAAGAAAAAAGATGAAAAACCAACTGAAGATTTGACAGAAGCTGCAAGTGTTGAACCTATTAATGCAGTACAGAAGGTGAAGCAACAAGAGACTACACCCTTGCAAGTTGCAGATGCTAATATCATGGAAAGTAAACCCTCAGAACTTGAGGAAGGAATTTTGGAACTGAATGAAGAAGTTGCCCCTTTACGACAGAAGGCCAGACCAACTATTGACACATCACGAGCAAGTGGTTACTATGAGTGTAGTATGCCAACTCCAAAGTCTGCTGATAGCACAAGGCCAGAAAGCAATATGGTGTTCCTTTATGTGAACCCAGATATTGCATCCACTGAAGAAAGTATCCAAGTTGAACATGAAGGAGAGGTGCAGAATGCAGAAAACTAATAGTACTAAGATTTTATGAAATAAAATTTGAAAATGAACCTGCCAGATTTGAGGAACACTTTTATTTAGTAAAAAATAAGAATTTTTGCCTACTTTGCTATGTAACTGCTTAATTGCTTTAATGGGACCAAGTGAAAAGGTGTAGTGAAAAGGTGTATCATAGATTTATTATAACAGACTAAATATGAAGAGATAATATGATTGAAAAGATCCAGAACCAGAATATAGGAGAGATCCATCATTAAAACATCAAATGAAAATGACAAATGTAAGCATTTTTAGCTCTTGAGCTTTCTACTTTCAAAGTATATATATATATATATATATATATATATATATATATATATATATATATATATATATATATATATATATATATATATATATATATATATATATATATATATATATATATATATATATATATGTTAAAGAAAGAGAAACAATTCAGACCCTGCAATTTTTTGTGAATGAGGCAGAAAGTCAATCAGATCAGCAACCTGGGACTTGGTCAAAATTTTTGTGATGCCATATGGCAGCAGGGTCTACCATTAGACAACACATTATGCTTTCAATATCTTCCCAGGCAGTAGTACCTCATTGTTTGATAGCTGCCTGCTACCTTTATAGAATAATTTGGAGATTATCGTTTCAGTTTGGAACCTAATCTCCCTTTTACCAAAGGTCCTTTCATTCACCATCTGCAGTGTGATTCCATGAAACTTACTGCAGAGGATGATGAGGTTCTGCTATTTTGTGTCAGCATGTTGATTTTATACTTCAAAGGAGAAGGTACTGTACTGTATATATATTTCTCCTTATTAAGACTTGAATTCCACAATTTTCTGTAGATGAGTGTGTCTTGCTGGAGACCCAGGTAGTGTGTCGTGAGTTACCTCTACATGTTCCTTCACGAGGTGTGCTAGCAGATATGGCATCATCAGTACCAACACCACTTCAAGTAAGTATGGAGTAACAAAGCAAATGACATATTTTTCTAGTTTGAGAAGTATCACAGTACTGTACAGTTTTGGAATATAAACACAGCAGTTTGTGTCTAGCATTTGAGCTTCCAACTTGGGGAGAACTTCAAAGAAGGGACATAATAGTACTGTAGTAGTGTGAGAGACTTTGTAAACATTTTAACTGAAGCAGAGAGGAGTATGTTTTCACATACTTTGTGATATTAGATGAATTTCATAGTCTGTATTTTCCATTATTATTTCCCAAATTTATGAAACCTTGGACTGTTTCAGGACAAGTAACTTGCCCACTTGGAGTGGCAAAAAACTTGTTCTTTTTATTTATTTAGTTCATGAAACCAAAACTTAATCAAACCTTAGGAAACAACCATATTCTTTATTCACACAGCCATGTTTATTTATTATTCAAACAGCCATGTTCTTTATTCAATCAGTCATGTTCATTATTAATACAGCCATGTTCATTATTCATACAGCCATGTTATTATTAATGCAGCCATGTTCATTATTCATACAGCCATGTTATTATTAATACAGCCATGTTCATTATTCATACAGCCATGTTCATTATTCATACAGCCATATTCATTATTAATACAGCCATGTTCATTATTCATACAGCCATGTTATTATTAATACAGCCATGTTCATTATTCATACAGCCATGTTCATTATTCATACAGCCATATTCATTATTAATACAGCCATGTTCATTATTCATACAGCCATGTTATTATTAATACAGCCATGTTCATTATTCATACAGCCATGTTCATTATTCATACAGCCATATTCATTATTAATACAGCCATGTTCATTATTAATACAGCCATGTTCATTATTCATACAGCCATGTTCATTATTCATACAGTCATGTTCATTATTAATACAGCCATGTTCATTATTCATACAGCCATGTTCATTATTAATACAGCCATGTTCATTATTAATACAGTCATGTTCATTATTAATACAGCCATGTTCATTATTCATACAGCCATGTTCATTATTCATACAGCCATGTTCATTATTAATACAGCCATGTTCATTATTAATACAGCCATGTTCATTATTCATACAGCCATGTTCATTATTCATACAGTCATGTTTAGGTATTAATAGCCATGTTCATTATTCCTTACAGCCATGTTCATTATTAATACAGCCATGTTCATTATTAATACAGCCATATTTATTATTCATACAGCCATTTATTATTAATACAGCCATGTTCATTATTAATACAGCCATGTTCATTATTCATACGCCATATTTCATTATTAATACAGCCATGTTCATTATTACATTCATACAGCCATGTTATTATTAATACAGCCATGTTCATTATTCATACAGCCATGTTCATTATTCATACAGCCATATTCATTATTAATACAGCCATGTTCATTATTCATACAGCCATGTTATTATTAATACAGCCATGTTCATTATTCATACAGCCATGTTCATTATTCATACAGCCATATTCATTATTAATACAGCCATGTTCATTATTAATACAGCCATGTTCATTATTCATACAGCCATGTTCATTATTCATACAGTCATGTTCATTATTAATACAGCCATGTTCATTATTCATACAGCCATGTTCATTATTAATACAGCCATGTTCATTATTAATACAGTCATGTTCATTATTAATACAGCCATGTTCATTATTAATACAGCCATGTTCATTATTCAAACAGCCATGTTCATTATTCAAACAGCCATACAGCCATGTTCATTATTCAAACAGCCATGTTCATTATTCAAACAGCCATGTTCATTATTAATACAGCCATGTTCATTATTAATACAGCCATGTTCATTATTAATACAGCCATGTTCATTATTAATACAGCCATGTTCATTATTCAAACAGCCATGTTCATTATTAATACAGCCATGTTCATTCTTAATACAGCCATGTTTATTATTAATACAGCCATGTTCATTATTCAAACAGCCATGTTCATTATTCAAACAGCCATGTTCATTATTCAAACAGCCATGTTCATTATTAATACAGCCATGTTCATTATTCAAACAGCCATGTTCATTATTCAAACAGCCATGTTCATTATTAATACAGCCATGTTTATTATTAATACAGCCATGTTCATTATTAATACAGCCATGTTCATTATTCAAACAGCCATGTTCATTATTAATACAGCCATGTTTATTATTAATACAGCCATGTTCATTATTAATACAGCCATGTTCATTATTAATACAGCCATGTTCATTATTAATACAGCCATGTTCAAGAACAATATACAGCCATGTTCATTATTAATACAGCCATGTTCATTATTAATACAGCCATGTTCGTATTCAAACAGCCATGTTCATTATTAATACAGCCATGTTCATTATTCATACAGCCATGTTCATTATTAATACAGCCATATTTCATTATTCATACAGCCATATTCATTATTAATACAGCCATGTTCATTATTAATACAGCCATGTTCATTATTAATACAGCCATGTTCATTATTAATACAGCCATGTTAATTATTAATACAGCCATGTTCTTTATTAATACAGCCATGTTCATTATTAATACAGCCATGTTCATTATTATTACAGCCATGTTCATTATTAATACAGCCATGTTCATTATTAATACAGCCATGTTCATTATTAATACAGCCATGTTTATTATTAATACAGCCATGTTCATTATTAATACAGCCATGTTCATTATTAATACAGCCATGTTCATTATTAATACAGCCATGTTCATTATTAATACAGCCATGTTAATTATTAATACAGCCATGTTCTTTATTAATACAGCCATGTTCATGGCTATTAATACAGCCATACTCATTATTACTACAGCCATGTCTATTATTATTAATACAGCCATGTTCATTATTAATACAGCCATTATCCTCATTATTAATATGCCATGGTCATTACATAATATGTTTCATGTTCATTATTAATACAGCCATGTTCATTATTCAAACAGCCATGTTCATTATTAATACAGCCATGTTCATTCTTAATACAGCCATGTTTATTATTAATACAGCCATGTTCATTATTAATACAGCCATGTTCATTATTCAAACAGCCATGTTCATTATTCAAACAGCCATATTCATTATTAATACAGCCATGTTCATTATTCAAACAGCCATGTTCATTATTCAAACAGCCATGTTCATTATTAATACAGCCATGTTCATTATTAATACAGCCATGTTCATTATTAATACAGCCATGTTCATTATTAATACAGCCATGTTCATTATTCAAACAGCCATGTTCATTATTAATACAGCCATGTTCATTCTTAATACAGCCATGTTCATTATTAATACAGCCATGTTCATTATTCAATACAGCCATGTTCATTATTCAACAGCCATATTCATTATTAATACAGCCATGTTCATTATTAATACAGCCATGTTCATTATTCATACAGCCATGTTCATTATTCATACAGTCATGTTCATTATTAATACAGCCATGTTCATTATTCATACAGCCATGTTCATTATTAATACAGCCATGTTCATTATTAATACAGCATGTTCATTATTAATACAGCCATGTTCATTATTCATACAGCCATGTTCATTATTCATACAGCCATGTTCATTATTAATACAGCCATGTTCATTATTAATACAGCCATGTTCATTATTCATACAGCCATGTTCATTATTAATACAGCCATGTTCATTATTCAAACAGCCATGTTCATTATTAATACAGCCATGTTCATTATTAATACAGCCATGTTCATTATTCAAACAGCCATGTTCATTATTAATACAGCCATGTTCATTATTAATACAGCCATGTTCATTATTAATACAGCCATGTTCATTATTAATACAGCCATGTTCATTATTAATACAGCCATGTACATTATTCTTTGTACATTAACTACCCATCAACACATTACCAATTTATGATCTGTGGGTTGCAAATTTTTGAGGTAGTGAGAAATAACCTTTGAGATACGAACCTGATAAGAAAGGCTACAAAAGACTGTGCAGATTGGAGTGCTGCCATCAGGTAATCATAACTAACTCCAGCAAGCAAAGAAAATGGTGGTAAAATGGTGATTATGAGAATGTTGATAGCCATTCTAACTAAGTTAATTCAGGGTCAATTAGATGTTATTGAAACTAATGGTTAGTTGAGTCAAGTGAGAAATTCAGATCACCAGGTCAACAATATTTACTCTAGTTCATCGCCTCACATGCCCTACACCTCTTATTTATACTGAGTTGCCAGTCAGATCCTGATTCACTTATAAAATGGGATCTAAATTTATCAACAGTCTAACCTTAACCAAAGAATTATATTTCCAGGTTACACAAGTTTCTAGACTGGGTCTTCTTTAAATAAAGAAATACACTTAACATATGTAAAAAAAATAATGATACACCTTTTTCAGTATGAGTTTGGCCAGGGGGAGACAAGCAGCACAAGTAATGCTGGTGTTCAACCCCGTATCCTGGAAGGAGCTTTACCACCATTACAGATGCTTGATCCTCTCCACTATCATTATATTGCTCCACAGGAACCCAAATTTAATTGTACACGGTGAGATGTTACTCTTGTCTTATACTCTAATGTGAAATTTTTTGGATATAAAAGTGAGTTACATGTAGGTAAATAATATATCAAGTGATATTACTTTCCCCTTTCCAATACAGCATTATTCCAAGGAGGCACAAATACAGTACAGTATTACCTCGCTTTACACGGTTTCACTTTTCGCGATTTCTCATTTACGCGGTACCTTGCCAGAACCGGACTTTCACTTTCCGCGGTGCATCTACTCATATACGCGTGAAGTATAATTTTTTTTTTTTTTTTTAGCTCATAAAATTCATACAAATTACCCGGCCAGAATATAATTTACATTGCTGGAATTCTTCCAATAAGATGATCATTTTGAATATAAACATCATGGATTTTGCATTAGACATACAAATTTTAGATCTAATGTAATAATTTGGTTTACACAAAGCAAGTATTTTATCTTTTGTGCAAAATATATGAAGTTTACATTCAAAATATTGCTGACCTGCAAGGAATCCAGAAATGTCAATTATATTATCCTAACTCTAGTCTGAGTTATTATATATTACTAAAAATGTAAATTACTATTTCCTCCCAAAGCTTCTCTGGTAGGGAGGGTTGGTGGGGGGGAGGGAGGGACGGACCGACCATCTGGCGCAGTTGGAAGAGGGGGGAGGCAAGGTGGGGTACTTTGATTGACAGATAGTGTCGTGAAGAATATATTTATTTTTTTTATTAACTGAAGATATTTGTTTTAGCTCATAAAATTCATACAAATTACCCAGCCAGAATATAATTTACATTGCTGGAATTCTTACAATTTGATGATCATTTTGAATATAAACATCATAGATTTTGCATTAGACATACAAATATTAGATCTAATAAGTATTTTGTTTACTCTGAGTAAATATTTTATCTTTTGTGCAAAATATATGACGTTTACATTCAAAATATTCCCTGACCTGCAAGGAATCCAAAAATGTCAATTGTATTATCCTAATTTTAGTCTGAGGTATTATTTATTACTAAAAGTTAAAATCTAGTTCTTTCACCCAACATTTCTCTGGTAGGGAAGGAAGGTTGGGGGTGGGGGGAAGGGTTGGGACTGACCGACCATCTGTCGCGGTTGGAAGAGGGGGGGAGGCAAGTTGGGGTACTTTGATTGACAGATAGTGTCGTGAAGAATATTTTTTTTTTTTATTAACTGAAGATATTTGTTTTAGCTCATAAAATTCATACAAATTACTGGACCAGAATATAATTTACATTGCTGGAATTCTTACAATATGATGATCATTTTGAATATAAACATCATGGATTTTGCATTAGACATACAAATTTTAGATCTAATGTAATAATTTGGTTTACACAGAGCAAGTATTTTATCTTTTGTGCAAAATATATGAAGTTTACATTCAAAATATTCCCTGACCTGCAAGGAATCCAGAAATGTCAATTACATTATCTTAACTTTAGTCTGAGGTATTATTTATTACTAAACGTTAAAATCCAGTGTTTCACCCAATCATTTCTCAGAGAGGTAGGGGCCAGTGAGCTGGGAAGAGGGGGGGGGGATTTGAGTCCATTATATGAATGGACATTAACCTGGCGACTGTATTTCTCTTAAATATTTATTGTGTGAGCATACCATCATAAAATTTAGATGTTATTTTTACTACAATATAGGTATTGTGTCGGAAAAAGTGGAGTTTGGGGGTTGGGCCAGTCTCTATTGGAATTAATCCCATACTTCTGTTGTTCACTTTACGCGGTTTTCACTTTCCGCGGTACCCTGTGGGTTCAATTGACCGCGTAAATTGGGGTACTATTGTATACTCTTGATTTAATGGAATCCTATATAACGAACTCAATTTAGCGGAAGGAATTTTTTCCGTTATTTTTCACTCAATTTAGTGAACTAGTTCACTAAATCAAGATTAATTCCGTTAATAGGCTTACACCTACGGAGACAGCTCAGTCGCATGATATGTACATAAAAACATTAAAAACTTTATTTGTGGCTTACTTTAAACACCACCCACGCACCCCAACACCACCCACACACCCCCAACCCCACCCACACACCCCAACACCACCCACACCACCCCAACACCACCCACACCACCCCAACACCACCCACACCACCCCAACACCACCCACACCACCCCAACACCATCCACACACCCCAACACCACCACACCCCAACACCACCCACGCACCCCAACACCACCCACACACCCTCCAACACCACCCACACACCCTCCAACACCACCCACACACCCTCCAACACCACCCACACACTCCCAACACACTCCAACATCATCCACCCACCCTCCAACACCACTCACACACCCTCCTACATTTCCCACCCACACCCTCCATCACCACCCACACACCCTCCAACAGGGACCTGATAGAATGTCAGGTCACCCTTTCTTGGGTGGAGGATTAGTGAGTCTCATGACCTGAAGATGTCTTTAATAATCACGAGACCTAAAATATTTTTAGATATTGTGGTAAGTATACAGTAAATGAGAAAAGTTGTATCCCTTCAACATTACATTACATAACATTTTAAAACATGGAGTGAGAAAGCAGAAAGGTGTGGGTGATTAGAGAGATGGAGTGGAAATGAGTGTTGCCAAAAGCTCCTCAACAGCTGATATTTTAACTCGCTGCCATGCAGTCTCACACACGCAGATGTGTCATACAATAAGACCTTTACTCCTTATGCTCGCTGTCTTAATTCCTTTGCTGGGGATGTGTGAGTGGGGTTGGGGTATGTGTGGTTGTTAGAGGGTGTGTGTGTGGGTGGTTGTTTGAGGGTGTGTTTGTGTGTTGTAGGGGTGTATGTGTGAGTGGTCTTGGTGTGGGTTGATGGAAGTGAACCTTTTTGGGGGGTAGGGTTGTGTGGTCAGCCCCCCCGTCCCTTCCTCACTCAAGCATGGCTATTTAAAATCGGAATCGTAAGCCAAGTAAACAATATGTATTTGCTCGAAACAAGGCTAATAAAGTACTTGGGTTCATACAAAGGAGTGTTAGTTACAAGACTAGCGAGGTCATCTTAAAACTATATCTTGCGCTTGTGAGACCTCACTTGGATTACGCAGTTCAATTCTGGTCACCGTATTACAGAATGGATATAGAATCCTTGGAAAGAATTCAGAGGAGAATGACAAGACTAATCCCTGGCATTAGGAACCTTGAGTACAGAGACAGGTTAAAGCATCTTAATTTGCACTCCCTCGAGAGACGTAGATTGAGAGGCGATATGATAGAGGTGTATAAATGGAAGTCAGAGCTGAACAAAGGGGACACTACAAAGGTACTCAAACTATCCAACCAGGAGCAAACTCGTAACAATGGTTTTAAATTAGACAAATTTAGATTTAGGCATGAAATAGGTAAACACTGGTTTGGAAATAGACTAGTGGACGAGTGGAACAAGTTACCAAATATCATCATTAACTCGAATACGCTGGATAGCTTCAAACATAGGTTGGATGGATATATGAGCAATAGGGGTTGGGTGTAAATGGGACTGCCCAGTATGGGCCAATAGGCCCGCTGCAGTTTCCTCCATTCTTATGTTCTTATTTGTGATAGGGATATGAATTTTATACCATAATGATCCTTAATAAGTTTTCTACGAAACGTTTCCAGTAAGATATCCTTCAATGAAATATTTCTATTTGATATAGTGATGGGAGTTTCATTCTTTTATAAAAAAAAAAAAAATATTGATACAGGAGTCAGTAAAATCATTTCTTATTTCGTTAGACACCATTTTTTCATCAAAATAATCCTGAATACTTTATCTAAAAGTTTGGCTTAAGAAATATATTTAAAAAAACAAAAGCTCCAGGAACCTCTGGACTGACAGATTCTCCAACAGGAAAATCCTCTCTCCTTTTTGAAGAGGAACTCTGAGAGGAAGCATCTTTCTCACGCTGCCTTTTAGAGAAGAAACTGTCAATTTATCGTTGAGGGGCATTTCTCCTCCTCATCATTAGCTGGTTCTCGAATAAGGAGACCACTTTGTCCTCCATAGTACACAAAATCGGTTCTGTTGTTTCCACATCAGGGTGCCTTGAAGCCAGTTTCCTGAACAGAGGTGAACAACATCTTTTAAGTCTGAAGAAGACATATGGTCATCATTTTCCTTTTCATCCTCACCACTGTCTATTTCTAGCATATCATCCAGTTGTTTCAAATCTTCAGGAGTAAGTTCCTACTCATGAGACATCACAAGCTCTTCAACATCCTCCTCCTCCACTTCGAGTCCCATTGACTGACCAATGGACACAGTCTCCTTGTCCAATTCCGTTTCTTCCTCAAATCCCTCCAAATCATGGACTGCTGTTGGCCATAGTGCTTTCCATGCAGAATTCAGGGATCAAATGGAGACTTCTTGCCATGCTGACACGATCAATTTTACAGCCTCTAGAATGTTGTATTGCGTCTTCCAGAACTGTGCCAGTGATAGATCAGGATCAGTGGAAGTTGCCTGATGACACCTTCTGAACATTTTCTTCATGTACAGCTTCTCGAAGTTACTGATTACATTTTGGTCCATTGGCTACATAATTGATGTAGTGTTGGGAGGCAAAAACAACACTTCAAAGTCAAATCTAGCCTCCAAAGTGCTGGCAAGTTCAGGGTCATGACCAGGGACATTATCCAGAAGGAGAAGAGCCTTTAAAGGAAGTTTATTGGCGGTTAGTAACTCTTCACAGTAGGGCAAAATACCTCAACTGCCCATTCATTTAAGAGCTGTCTTGTCACCCATGCCTTACGGTTTGACTTCCAATAAACTCCAAGTTGTCCTCTTACCACCTTTTGTTGCTTGAACACCCTGGGGTTCTCTGAGTGGTAGACAAGTATAGGCTTCAGTCGGAAATCCCCTGAATCATTGGCTCAAGCAATAGAGTGAGACAGTCCTTCATGGGTTTATGCCCCGGTAAAGAAGCTTCATCTCTGGTGATGAATGTTCTTTTGGGCATTTCTTCCAGAACAGCCAAGTTTCATCCACATTGAAAACTTGCTGTGGAAAATAATTCTCTTCATCCATCAATACCTTGAACTCCACTAAAAAAATTTCAGTTCCTTCTTTATCTGCACTGGCAGCTTCACCATGCCTAACAACACTATAAATGTCACTTCCTTTCTTAAATTTATCAAACCAGCCCTTGCTGGCCCTAAACTCTTCAAACTCATTTTCAGAAGAACTAGGTTGATCTTCCTTCAAATGTCCGTATATTTCCCTGGCTCTTTCACAAATAAATTCAGTAGAAATCTCCTTTCATTTGTTTTTCTTTAATCCAAATAAGAAGTAACCTCTCTGTTTCTGCAATTAATGATCTACCTTTAAACACTCTGGTAGATTTATATCTCACATTCACTTCTTTAAATCTGTCTTTCTGCGCAAGAATTGTCGACACAGTTTAATGCCGACATGCCATATTCTTTACTCAGTACCTTGGTTCTAATGCCTTCTTCTTGTTTCTTAATAATTTCCTGTTTTACTTGAATTGAAATCGCCTTTTTAGATTTCTTTACGCCCATGCTGGATGCAATACAGTAATTTCACCAATAAAATTTTAAGTTCACTACCTGTAATTAAAGATTATTTATTTAAATCAACGTTGCACTGCGCTATATATTATCAATATGTTAAATATATTTCAGAATGACCAATACTTGTAATGTAAAAACATAAAAATGGTCTATGTTCAAGAGAGCGACAAACAAGATGTTTCCTCCACGTTAAACAAAGTTAAACAGACGCTTTGGTGGGTGCGTCAAGTAGCTGATGGGCACACCAAAAACTAGTTCCCTGTACTGCAAATATTATCAATAAGTTAAATGTAAAAACGACTAATAATTTTAATATCAAACTTGCAAAAATGTTAAAGAGCACAACCTTCTTAATATTTACTCCAATGAAAACGAATGTAAGCCTAGAACCGATTACTGTATTGGCGGACTAGGCTACCAGCCGATGCGCAAGCCAAAACATATTGTCGTGAGGATTTCGTAAATCGAAGTTTTTTTTGTCAGCTGAATTGAAGATCCTTATGGAAGGTACCAGTAATTCGTTAACCGAACCGTTCGTTAACCGAGGGACCACGGTATAGAAATTATAATTATTTTGTTGCCCACAAATATCCATGCTTATAAAAACATGAATTTCACATTATTGGTGTTCTTACAGATGTTGCAGTGTGCGGGCCAGTTGGTGGGGAGACTCTGAGAGTGCATGGGACCAACAGTGGGCTTCTAATTGTATATGTTCTGGCCACTGGGCACTCCCTCCCATCACTCCATCCAAAGCTGCTTAAGTAGTGATATTTATAACGTGATATTCAAAGTGCAAAACAGCTTGTAAGATAAAACAGGTTTAAGACGGTACTTCATATTATGTTACCTAGATCATGTTTGCAATTTTATTATTTTTTCTTGAAGGTATAATGCAATAATAGTCCTATATGAAATTTACATATTCTTCGTATAAATGTTTCATATTTTACTTGCAACAATTCATTGAAGAACTTATAAAAGCTTGGGTGGAAAAAGAACAAATCTGCTGAATAGATCCTCATGTGCATGTATTATTGTTAGTGGGAAACATTTGCCCATAAGGAGCCCAGATGTGAGTATCCACATTGCAGTCTTAATATAGTAAGAAACAACTAATTTTGGAACTTAAGACATCATTGTCATAAAACTACATCAAAACTTCATGTTATCTTATGACCTTAGGTTAGTCCAAGGAGACATATGTATATTGATCATCAAGTCGATGAATTAGAAACCAGGCTATCCCTTGATGCTGATGGCTGTGGCTAATACTTTTAACAATTAGTAAAACTTTCCCATCACATCTATAGCTCGTTAAAAGGGACCTCAAAGGCAACATTTACAACTGAAGACTGAGTGATGGAGATTCTTTGATGCCACAATGGCCTGTGTAACCTTGCTTTCCCATGTCTTATTGTTGGCCAGACTATGAATAAACTTTCACTGTAGGAAATAATATGGTAGGTCTCCAGATCTGATGGTAGATTCACCAAATTTGACAACAGTAGCCTGTTCCCACTTACATCTTAGTCTTGTGTACACTATATACAGGTGGTATATACTGTACAGCACATTTAATGTGGTAGCATTTGGGCATTTCTCATCTGTGCAGTGCTTCAGCTCCTCCTGCTAAGAAGAGAAAAGGGATCCATGTGCCAGTTAGTAAAAGAAATAAAGTCATTAATCAACATAATTTGGCGTGAAGGTGGCTGTAGAGTTTATTATCAGTTTCTGAGATACGTATGTCTTTTGGTACTGTGTAGATAGTATCTATTGTGAATTCATTTCACATTGCAATACTGTACAGTACTGTATATGATCATAGGTTCAGTGTTTATAAACACTCAGATGGAAGGAGCCATGTATCATCAACATCAACATGTTATATCAAAACTTAACATATTTATAATTGTCAACTTGAAGTCTTAGGAGTAGCCCTAAATGGTACAGTATACTGTATTAGTCTTTTCTGAAAGTTTGAAATACTTCCTTAGCACTGTTCCCGAGTATCGACGCAACTTAGCACCCAACGAAAATTTTATGTTTCTGTGATTTGGTTGCTGTTCAGTGTTGACAGAAAAAATATTCCCCAAAAATCAGCTGGTTTGTCAAATTGGACAAGTGGTAGTGTCTTGTAACTAACACTCCTTTGTATGAACACAAGTACTTTGTTAGCCTTGTTTCCAGCAAATACACATTGTTGTCTTGGTTTAATATTCTTACAGGTACTTGTCATTAATCCTAAATCCTTTCTCACAGTCGGATTTCTCTATAAGACCATTGTTCATCTGATATTTGGTTTCTCTGTTTACATCTCCTAGGATAAGTACTTTACATTTTTCCACGTTAAATTTTATCTGTCATTTTTCAGATTATGCACAAATTTTTTTAGATCTTCCTGTAGTTTTGCAGAGTCCTTGTTAGATTTAATTACATTCCCTATTTTAGTGTTGACAGCAAATTTACTTTTGTTTCTATCTATGTTGTTTATGTATATAATAAATAGTAATGGTCTAAGGCCAGTGGTTCTCAACCTGGGGGCCCCCAGGGGAGCCACGGCGAGCTGCTAGAAATTGTACGTTTCCAAATAATGTTGGGAATCTGAATTAAACAAAACTTGTATTACTTATTTTGACTTGGCAGAAGAGAATTTTCATTATCTTTTTGTCATTTTGTTTCATCATAACGACAAGGGGGGGAATGGAGTGAAAAAGGTTGAGAACCACTCTAAGCCTTGTGGTACTCCACTAGTGACATTACCCCAATCAGATTTAGTACCATTAATACCTACTCTCTGTTTCCTGTCCAATAACCATGCCCTAATATTTAAATGAAGCAGTAAATTTTTACATTCATGAATTCATTGTTGTCAAGCTTCAGCAATAAAATTAAATCGTTATCCCTATTTGGCAAGAAGAACAGTTCCATTTTAAGGCTTATGTCTGATAAGTATCCCTATTTAGCAACACATATATTCATTCATCATCATCATCAATCATATGTGATCATAAATCAATTTGTCATCATTGTCATGTATAATGTATACACATACATAGCTATACAGTATAATAAATTTGAATTTGTAGTTTAATAGTTTAGAAAAAATTGCTGCAACGAATATTTACAGAACAGTACTATCACTTTCCCAATTGGTGGTAGCAAAGCCTGGAATTTGAAAATTTTACAACATGAAGATGTAATAAATGATAGCATAAAGGACTTTGGTAGTGTCTCAACATTTTAGAGTTATACTCTCCATCAAGGGCATATGTTATTCTTTAATCAGCCTTCAAATACAGTACATATGATTTCCTTCAATATTCAGACTTACTTTTCTTATGCTGTTAAGATATTGCTCACACAGAAGCATGGATTTGTACTTTTTCCACATAAAAAGGTTTATATTAAGTTAATTACATGAGAAATATTCCTTGAAGCAGAAATTAGAGTTATGCATATGATTTGGGAAGAGGTTGCCATGACTTTTTGTTTTCCTTTAAGGTGAAAGTTCTGTATCAATTTTGTAGTTCCAATGACTTTGTGCTGCAGTACTACCCACCTCTCCCACATCTTAAACCCCAAAAAGGCAGTCAAATTTCCCTCTAATAATATTTAATTTTCCACTCACTTTCTTTGTTAAAAGTGATAGCAAGTCCTCCATAATTTACATTACTGTATATGCAGTTACAACACCATATAACTTCTCTTGCATTGCATCTGATCGCAACATATCCTTATTTATCTTGTGTTGAATGTGTTACAACCTATGATAATTGGTCTTTTGTTAAAGGCATTGCAACCTATGATACTGTCATTGATCTTAAGTTAAATGTGTTACAACCTATGATAACTTGTCTTGAATTAGATATGCTACAACCTTTTGTAACTTATCTTGTGTTAAATGTTGTTGCAGCCTGTCATAAATTCCACGCAGAACACAGTCAACACACCGCCCTTTTACTAGTTGCCCTGTTTTCTTTTCTCAGCTTAAGATATTGCACCCTCATAAAATTGATTGACTAGTTTGTTTTTTGCACAGCTGTGTATAGAGTCTTAGTTTTTGCCTGCTTTGTTGCCCATTTTTTAAAGTTAACCTAAATAAAGTGTTCCTCATATTTTCAAGCTTCATGATGGCATTCATTTTTTCTTTCTATTTCATATACTGTACAGTAATTATATACCGCATATACTCGTGTATAGTTCGAGTTTTTAAGACCAAATATTTAGGCAAAAAATTGGGGGTCGTCCTATACATGCGTAATAGTTTTGTTAGGTTGAACCCGTGCATGATGGGAATGGTGAGGAGCAACTTTTAGCTTCAGACATGAAAATTTTTACCGTTTACTGCCAGTAAACAATGGAAACGTAAAATATGTACCAATTAGTAATGAAAAGTTGTGCAGTTCCTTCAGTAAATGAAGCTCACCAACTTACAATAGGCTAAATTACCATACAACGTGCTTTCAGAAGTCTATGTTGAAGTTCTTAGCACAGGCTAACTTATCATATCATATACGGTATCACAGTTCTCATTGATCTACAAAAAATACCGGTAATAAAAACCTTTAAGATATTTCACACTTAATATAATACCCGGTAATCTACTTCACCCTTCTATTGTTTAGAACGATGCATGACGCATCACGCACCACCAGCTGTATCAGCTAGAGGGTACACGTGTTTTTCGAATTGTTTTCAGTTAAAAAACTGTTACATCACATGTATATTTTACCTTAACTGTGCCTGAATGAATATGTTCTTGGAAATAAATAGTAGTTTTGCTGAAATGTGATGTATTTTAATGTAAAATAGGATAAAATATATGACGAAAACAAAAGATTTTACCTAACCTTCCGATGTTCAAGTTACTCGTTTTTTTAATAGTTATGCGTTAAAATACTGTTATATTACAATGGTATTCTATTTATACTGTGCTTGATATAATGCATTCACGGAAATGTAATATTTTTGCTGAAATGACGTACGTATTACAGTGGAAAGTGGGATAAAATTGTGACGAAAACATTGACTTTCGCTTTCTTTCCTTCAAAAGATGTTACCATAATCGCTTTTCGAATGATTTTCAGTTAAAAAACTGTTGTATTACGATAATAATCTATCCTAATTGACTTGAATAAATACTACGATACCATATTTCTGAATATTTTCATTAAAATCCATCCAAATCATTTTCTTTGTCATCGTCTGCAGCACCAAACAGCTTCTCCCAGTCCTCTCCTTGACCAGGGCTAGAGGTTATGTGTTTTTCGAATCGTTTTCAGTTAAAAAACTATTACATCACACGTATATTTTACCTAAACTGCGCCTGAATGAATATATTCTCGGAAATAAAACTAGTTTTGCTGAAACGTGATGTATTTCAATGTAAAATAGGATAAAATACATGACGAAAACAAAAGACTTTACCTAAGTTTCTGTTCTTGAGATGTTACTCGTTTTTTTAATAGTTTTCGGTTAAAATTCTGTTATATTACAATGATATTCTATTCATACTGTGCTTGACATAATACATTCACGGAAATGTAATATTTTTGCTGAAATTATGTACGTATTAAAGCGGAAAGTGGGATAAAATCGTGACGAAAACAATGACTTTCGCTTTCTTTCGTTCAAAAGATGTTACCGTAATCGCTTTTCGAATGGTTTAGTTAAAAAACTGTTGTATTACAATAATATTCCCTCCTAATTGACTTGAATAAATACTTGAATGGAAATATACAATATTTTTGTTGAAACTACCCGCGTTTCAGTGTAAAGTGTCGTAATAATAAATGGTAAACAATTTGCCTTCGGCACTCGTGTTTCATGCACGGAGAGCCTCAGTTTATAGGACGTAGAGCGCTTTTAGTGAAGGTTTTGTTGTTCCATTACCCTCAAAAACGTGGGTCGAACTATAAACGAGGAATATCGTAAATTAACGATTTCTTGGTCAAAAAATCAGGGTCGACCTATAAACGAGGGGGGGGTTATAGACGAGTATATACGGTATTCATAAATATTTAGTCAAGAAATTTTGTAATACATCTTAGTTTAAGTGATACCATTTAAGTGATTTGTGTTATTGTTAGCAATCAGTTATGCTTGTAAATAAAGAAGATACAACAAGAAAATTTCACATATAAATCTCAAACATGTTTTCTTATGTTTCTGTCATATCACACAATAGAAAAGACAAAACCACATATCCATAAATATCCTTTTGTGTTGGGATTGAAACTCCAAATGAAATATACTTTGTAAAAGAAATATTGATTAAAGTTATGAGGTGATATAAACATGTGGAGAGCATAGCTATGTGAAACTTTACTTGAAAATTATTTTTATTTGCCTAGAGGATTAACAGTCATGAAAAGGGCTTGTGCTAGGGTGAATGAATTATTGATATAGTATTAGTAAAGTACTGTACTTGATTGTTCTTACTATACTATGAACATCATATTTAGAAGTTAATCTAAGTTGTCATATTTAAATATGGGAACTTTTTGAGAATACAATTAGATAGGAAGCTTGTGAGACTTCAGGAAACTTGATAGCACCAAAAATTCATTGATCCATAATAGCTAGCAGTGGGACATATTACACAAACCAACTATTGTTTTGTTTACTAAGTGATAAATGTTTTGTCTAGAATATTGTATCTATGCACTTGTAATACTCATAAGTTAATTCATGCAATAAACTTCCTCTAATCTGGACTAATTGGGGAGGGGGGGAGGAGGCCTGCCCAGTTTGGCCAAAATTCCGGGATGGGCGAGAGCTTGTATTGTGTATATTACAAGGTGAAAATACAGTGGTCCCTCGGTTAACGAGCACAATTCGTTCCAGAAGGTTGCTCACTAACCGAAACCATTGTTTCAATGGGTTTTTGGGTAATTGGTTCCAGCTCACCGAAAATTACATACAAACTAAAATTAAATGCAGTAAAGTACACTTACTTTGAGGTGTGCATGTAGAAGGCTCCTGGTTGATGATGATGATGATGGGAATTAGGATGGGGGTGGAGGAGAAGGGAAAAAGAGAAGGCATTGGGATGGAAGAGAAGTCACCCCATGCTGCCATTTCACCCATAAAATTTTAGTTCACTTGGTGTAATTCATGATTATTTTCTTTAAATCAACACTGCACTGCACTATATATTATCAATATGTAAAATATATTTCAAAATGACCAATAATTTGACTGGAAACACAGAAAAAAAGTGTTTATGTTGAAGAGTCTCAAACAAGGTGTTCCTTCCTCTGAACCGATAAACAAACTGACGTCATGCTTGGTGTGTTGAGTGGCTGTTTGGCGCGCAAAAAACTAGTTTCCTGTACTCAATTATGTTCAATAATTGTTAAAATGACTAAAAAATTTAATATAAAACTTTTAAAATTATTGCATAGTACAACCTTCTTGATATTTACTAAAATGGCAACGAATTTAAGCCCTAGAACCGATTACTGTATTGGCGGACTAATA